ACCTCCGACACCCTCGCCGCAGCTCTGGCGCCGGGTGACGCCACGAGCACGCGCAGGATCCAGGAAGTGACGGGCGGGGGAAGCAGCCAATTAAACTTCCTCTCCTAGGTCGTGGTTCCGCCCACCGAGGGAGCCCCGCCCACAAAGCGAAGTCCTATTCGTGACTCGGCCTGAAGACGGAGACAAGTCCCGCCCACCAACTGTAGCCCCCCCAACACCTTGAGCGGTGGTACCCGAAACAAAACCCCGCCCAGCGAACGTAATGGACGTAGTTCCGCCCGTGAGCAGGTTCCCGCCCCCTAACGTAGTCCCGCCCACAAAGCCTGCTCTCGCTTCCGGGCACTGTAACGCCCCGCCCACAGAGCGAAGCCCCGCCCTCCGCGGGAAGTCCCGCCCCCACCGTCCCAGGACTTCGCGGGGTTGCGCGTTAGAGACGCCGCTCATCGCGGAGCGGGGACGACGCCACCGAGCGGCCCAGGAGGGGGCGCCCGCGCGCTGGACGGTGTGTACGCGCGCGGAGGCCGTGTGCTCCCCCCGGTGTTTCCTCGCTTCCCAGCCGCGCGTGGAGGGGCGGGGCGCAGGGCCGCGGGAAGACGTTGTCTCAGAAGTGCCGGGGGCTTCGGAGACGCGGAGGGCGCCCGGCAGGGAAGGGAAGTGACTCCCTTTCGCTGTGCCCTCCGCCTCCTCTGCAACTCAGGTGCCCCACGAGCTGTGTGCCTGCCCGTCTGCAGTCGCCCCCGCGCCCTGCCGGGTCCCCACGCCGCCACCCTCGTCCCCCACGCAGGGTTCCGCGTTCCCGGTGCACGGGAGCCGCGACGGAACCTTGGCTCAGTCGCCTAAAGCGCCCCCGCGTGGGAGGAGCCGGGGCCGCAGCCGTCGCGTCCTCGGGGAGCAGACACCGAGAGGGGCGCCTTCCGTCCCTGCTCCCTGAAGCCACGGGCGCCCCACGGAGCCGTTTTCAACGTGGGGAGGCAGGTTTTTATCCAGAGTGACCTCCTGGCCCGGTGCCTAGAAGTCCCAAACCTGAGCTTACGGGGAAGAGCCCAAGGTCGGGAGCGGCCCGGGGCGTGTCACGAGGGCCATAAAACCAGGCCGAGCGCGCCAGGGCCTTCCGCGTTTTTTTCGGGGCGCTCGGTGGAAACGCGAGCGGGGGTGTGGAGGGACGGGAACCGCGACGCAGGCGGCAGGTGCGCCGGGCAGACCGCGCGCCCCCGAGCGGGACCCGGCGCTCGGACGCGCTACATTGTTTCAAGAAGCGGGCGAAAGGTCACCGCGCCGCGTCCTGGGGGGTTCAGCGGCGGAGCCCGCGCACTGTGTGCGGCTCAGCAGCGAGTCTGTTTTTCGGCTGAACCTGCGGTGCCCGCGCGGACCGAGGCCCACACTTTGTGACCCTCTTCTCCGGGTCGTTCGGAAAACCCCGCGGGGCTGAAATGTTGCTGAGAGTTGCACGGGTGACCGACTCTGCTAAAGACAACCAAAGACCCAAACGCGTGGCTCCTTAGACTCTTATCCTTTTTTTCTCCTTCTGGGTTAGAACAGCCGTGAAAAGCCCTTGTAGAAACTTGGGACACGGAGAAGAGCATGAAGCGCACCCCCGCAGCGGCCGGGTGCCCGTCTGGCTCCCCAGCATCTCTGTCTCGCCTGAAGGCTGGTCCCCTGCCTTAGCCTCCACGCAGCCCTGCTGACGTGGTGATGGGATCACCTCCTTCCTGGGCTGCAAACTGCTGATGTTCCCACATCACCCAGAATAAAGGCAGAGGCTGACTAGGGCCTGGCCCTCTCTGTGGCCCCGCTGGCCCCCACCCCACTGCTTCCTCACTGTCCTGGAGCCCTGGCCCCTAACTGTCTGCAAGGCGCCCCCCTCACCTCTCAGCTCTGATTTCTAAGGGCCTCTTCACAGAGAGGGCTTCCTGCCACCGCTGTGCAGTCGGGGGCCTTCCCACCCCCACCCCGTCTCTGCCATTGTCACCATATACTAGGGATCGTTTATTTGTATCGTTTATTTCCTTTGCTTGTTCTCTGTCTTCTCTACGAAGGCAGAGCTTTTTATCGGGTTTTGTTTGATGCCGTCTTTGTTTCCCGAAGCGTCACAAATCACCCCAAAATTTAGTTGCTCAAAACTAGAGCCGTTCTTTCTTATCTGAGGATTTCCGCGGGGGTGGACTTTGAGAGGGGCTTGGCTGGGCGGGTCTGACTCAGGCCTTTCATGAGGTTTCCGCGAGGTGTCGGCTGGGGCTGGGGATCCGCTTGCCAAGCGCGTTGATCACAGGCGGCAGCTGGTGCTGGCTGTGGCCAGGTGCCCCGAATCCTCTGCAGGAGGGCCTGTCTGCAGGGCTGAGTGTCCCCCTGACTTGGAAGCTGACGGCCCCCAGACGGAGGTATCCGAGAGAGAAGGGGAGACACTGCGGTGCCTCTGGTGACTGGGACCCAAGTCACAGCGTTGCTTTGCCAGCCCCATTCAGTGCAGAAGGAGGTGCCGGGAGAGGCTGGCTAGGCAGCTGCTCTGTGCCCCAAACAGTGCCAGCACCTACAGGGAACCCCACAAGTATTTTTGGACAACGAATAGATTCTGCCACTCAGACTTTTAAAAATATATTTCTTTGCAGACTTTTTATCTAAGCAAGTATACTAGGCTGTTCCTTTAAAAATCAGAGTATCTCCCTAGATAAAAATCTATAATCTGTAAATGTAAACATGCACAATTGTTAACTACATTTCTTAATGTAATATTTAATGTCTTTCTAAAATGACAGCTTTTGGATATACGAAGTTATTTCCACTCTCTCCTTATCTTTAGCATTTCTGCTTCTAGCTGTTTTTCTGTTGTGAATACACCGTGATGACCATCCTTTTACATAAAGCTTTGAGGGCACCCCCGGAGGTTTTCTCGGGGAGCTTGCCTAGGAATAAGACCAAAGGTTGTGAGCACTTATCACACAGCGATAGACTGACATTGGCTGATTTACTGCAAGCCAAGGGGCTATTAAGTAAGTTGTGTGACCGCTGGGTTGTTTTGGCCTAAACCATCAGAACTTTCGACATTGATCTGATAGCTATACAACTTCCTTTTAAATAATCTTGGCTCTGTTTCCTTTTCATGCTTCTGCAACATGCTCAGATGAGATAGGAAACACCCAAAATAGGGCGTGGGTACATTATTAGGACACTTCACGGAGGACACCGGAGGACAGAAGTGCAGATTGTGGAGCTGTAGGAACGTGCTCTTGTCTGACAGTGTCTGCCTCCAGTTTCTGAAGCAGGGAAACTGAGGTGACCGGGGCTGGATTTGCTCAAGAACCCCCCTCCCTCTCCCCGCGGCCTGAAGCCTGGGTCGTTGAGCAAGTCCTTCAGCCTGGGGCCCCTTGCAATCTCCCTGGAGATCTCTCCTGGGCAGCTTGCGAGCTGCACCCCCCACCGCAGGGTGACCTCAGGAATGGGAGGTAAAGAAATCAAAACTCCATATAATCAGCCCCATAAAATCAACTCTCCACAGATAGCCAGTGATAAGACATTCCTGCGGTTAATAAGGCCCAGCTGCCAAATCAGCTGGGGGGAGCACCTTGGACTTGGGACTGCAGGCTGGGGCCCTGTCCCACCTGGGCTGGCCTCTCTGGGTAACAGGAGTCCTGCTCCTGGCTTCCCTGCTGGGCAGAGTCAGAAGGAAACAGCCCCTCGGGGTCACAGTCAGTCGTTCTGAGAATACTTGGGGGGAAAGTGCCTCTCAGAGCCCGACACTGTGATCTCCCCTCGATGGGTCGTCAAATATGCTTGTGGCCGAGGTTATGGCTCAGGCCGCAGCCCGAGCAGCCGGCGCCTGACCCCCGGGCAGCCACTGGGCACGTTTGAGGCGGGGAAGGCCGGGCAGGGCGCGGGGAAGGCCGGGCAGGGCGTGGGGAAGGCCGGGCAGGGCGCAGCCCCATCCAGAGGGGAGCCCCGGCCCGGGTGGCTCCCTGGTTGGGGCGTCGGTGGGCGCACCAAAGGGTCTCGGTTCGGTTGCAGGCTCGATCCCAGGTCCCGGTCCGGCGTGTGCGGGAGGCAACCCTTGGATGTGCCCCTCCGTCTTTGAAAAGCGATGGAAAAAATATCCTCGAGTGAGAATCATAAAATAAAAGATCCCCGCACTAGTTGGTCCTTAAGTAACCGCACAGCTCAGTCTGAAATTTCAAAAATGACAAACGCCAGGCCCGGGGCAGCGGGGAGGGGTGCGGTGCCCCGGCGGGCACGGGCGTCGGTTCCCTGGGCGCCCAGCACCGCGCCCTCCGGGACGCCCC